TCTGCTATATCGCGCCTCCGGTCGTGCTGAATCTACCTTGACTAGGACCCATATGGGTGATGGAGGAGCGAGTACGATGTCAGAAATTTGTTCGGATCCAAAACACATTTCAGTTGGCATTTTATGACCTAGGATGTCCACTGTACTTAAGGAATTCTGATAGGGTTAGGAGGTGGGAATATTTATCCTTCCTGGAATTATGCGCAGGGGGACACAGGCCGAGGCGTTCCCAGCCCCGTGTGTCCTGTTTAGGGGTCTTCTAAATAATCCTTACCAGTAAGTAAGGACTGGACTTTAGCACTGTCGTTTAGATTCTCCCATGGGGAAGATATTGGAATTGGAGCCCGAGTAATGGCCTCAAGGAAAATTAACGGAAGGGCGCCTAGTCGCCTATCCTTAGCCTATCCCAAATCTTAACACTGGTCCCTGGCGCCTCTGCCCTCAATCTCCCTGGAATGTAGTACAAAGCCGCCTGTGTTACGGAGCTAGGAGCCCTATTCCTCAACGAGTCTTCCGCAGACTGCGAAAGTCCCTACGGACCCCACGCGATATTCCTATTTCTACAAAGTTCCGCGTACTGTACATCTCCACGGTCTGTTCTTCTATACGGATGTGAATGCTGGGCTATGCGCGTGGAAGATAAACGGAAACTGGAAGTCTTCGACCACTACTGCCTGAAGAATATCCTTCGAGTGAAGTACACCGACTTCGTCTCAAATGAGACAGTCGGCACTCGCTGCGACAACATCGCAAGGATATCTCAGGTAATCCAAAAAAGACGACGGAGGTGGTTTGGACACGTTCTTCGCCGTCAATCTCACGAGCTCAGGTTTACTGTCCTAGGTGCGACACCGGTACCTAATTGGAAACGTCGAACTGGGGGTCAGCTCAAAACCTGGCTCGAGTCAGTCCATCAGGACATGGAAGTGGTTCTTGGGCCTTCAGTATTCGGTCTCCGGCAATGGCGAAGATAATGACTCGAGCTGTCTAGGTCTGCTGCCACGGATCGTCGTGCGTGGAAAAGCACCGTACCGGACATCATCGAGGCCGACTAGAGCAGTCATTATCGCAGCCGCAACAAGTACAAGTACAATCCCTATTCCCCCTGTCCCATCCTTATGTGAACTCAGCCTCAAAAAGATGATCTAGGGGGAAACTGTCACGGACACCGAGAAATGAAAATTTAAACGACGACAAAATTTAGCTGCGTACCAAGTGCGTCTGAAAGCGACCTTTGCACGTAGGTTGGATGATCAGGTGGAGTTGGATCCACCCAACCAGTGATGAGATCGTAGGCAATTACAGAGCCCAGGGAGTGAGACATGATGGAGACGCGACCACCATCGCGTTCGAAGTAGGGATGCCGTTGGCGGAACAGGGTGTAGAGTCGGTTGAGTTCAGTCAGCAGATTCCGGCTGATTTCCGAGCGATAGAGTGGACTACTGTAGTACATAATGTCCATAAATGTGCTGTTGAGGAAGTAACGAAGCCGGCCCACATTATTCAGTGTCAGGGAGTCCATAATGTCACCGCAAAGTTGAAGAGAGGTTCGCCACTCAACTGGCAGGAACTCGACCCTCTTCTGCGAGGCTGTTACGTCGGGAAAGTAGGCATCCAGCAGTTTCTCAGAGATGGAACGGAGACTGGAAAGACAAAAAATGTTCATTTGCACTTCGGGAAACAGTTTTGTAAACGTGCCCTGCAAAGTGATTTAGTAGATAACCAGGGTGAGTTTGCCCGGGTATAGAAAAAAAATCCTTTTTTGATGAAACTACTATCAAAACTAGCATATAGTCGTTTAATGATTTCACATTTATCAAATTCAGACGATATGAACGCCCAGGAAAAAACTCACAATTGTAGAGTAATTGGAATGGCTATATGAAGCTAAAGGCAGCAAGCAGCTCTTTTAGTTTTATTTAACATGAAAAACTATATGTTCATGCTAGAGGACCACGCGTCGAAAATGGAAAAAAACGATCGTAATTAACAGGCAGGGTCAGTGCCGAAATTGGTAGGGAAAAGCTTGCCATGATCTGAATTCTAACAGAAATAACTGTTTACTGATCGGCATTCCAAATAGTTTTGACTCGAATTATACCTCTTCTCAATTCCAGCTTCCCCCGTTCCCGCCAAGTATCTTAGTAGATAAAAGGGATGCATTTTTCAGGGGATACCAAAATTAATGCATTTCTCATAGCAATAATATCAAAACAAGCAAGCAATGGTTCAATTTTCAAACCCAAACGATATGCACGCACGGGAAATGCCCATGCTACAGAAGTACTTTGAATGGTTGAATGAGGCTTAGAAGACTAAAGCAGCTCGTTTTAAACTTATTTACTATAAAATGCTTCGTCGTGCTTGATAGTCCAACGAGTGTAGTTCGAGAATGACAAAGTGATCTTAACCAACAGGCACAGTTTGTGTCGGAATTTGACTGGGTAGGTTTGCCGAGATCTGAACCCGAACATCAATAACTGAGAAGAGTCTTTGGCGAGTGTACGTATACTTCCGATAAATTCTCGTCAGGCCAATACATTTATATGGGTATAAGGGGTATAAGTTAGACAAGCGATCAATAATGTTCGTCTTTTCTTACAAGCGAGTCGTGGGAATCGGGGGGAGGGGTCGATAAGAGAGGGGTGGTTACGCGGGAAGGGCTTGGTGAAGCCAGCTTAAGGGAGGGGGGAAGGACGCGAACTGCGGAGCTTGCACGAAGTTCTTTTGTGCACAGAATGACGGCTTCACCAACCTTATAACGTAACTACCCCTCCCTCCGATTCTCACGACTCACTCGTAAGAAAAGGCGAACATTATTGATCATTTGTTTAGCATATACCTCTGCCTATATAAATGTATCGGTCTGACAAGAATTTATCAGCAGTATACGTACACTCGTCAAAGACTCTTCTGAATTCTCTGATGGGAATATTTGCAACATCAATAACTTTTTACCGGCGTCCTGAGCTCTGATGAGCTCTCCATCCCAACACTCATTTTGAATCTGTCTAACCACTTATGATGGTCGCATTCGCAGACAAATAAATCACCAATGGCCATAACATTTTCACGAATAGTGGGCGCTCTATAGTAGAAGCAATTACTTCTTAATTCAGTAGTAGGTACGTGATCGTTGTTCGCGAAATAGTAGCCGAGTTTTTGATACGCTTTTAAATATAAAATTAATTGCCATTTTGGAATATTCTATACGATGTTTTACAGCTTGAGGATTGATATACATTCTTCTGTAGTTAACCTATAGGGTTTTTTATTTTGAAGCATAGAAGCCCTTAATAACGACGATCAAAAATAAGAAATGAACAGATCATGGGGAAAACGGTCCACAAGTTATCAGGCAATACAAATTTGGTTTAAGAAATTCAGTAATGGAAACTAGAACCTTTAATATGAAGAAAATAGAAGACGGCCATTTACTCTTGATAATGCACTTCTAAAAGCAATTATTGAACAGAACTCAAAGCCAAGTCAGAGGGAGAAAGGGCATTCACTGGCAGAGGTTTATTTTTATCTGACGTTTCGGATAGTTGTCTCGTCTATCCATCTTCAGGCAGGCTACGCACGCACGCAGGAGAAAACAGTGGCATATAGCGAGAACCAGGAGCCAGAGTGTTAACTATATGAAAAGGGATAGAGGAGACAACTATCCGAAACGTCAGATGCAAAATAAACCTCTTCCGGTGAACGCCCTTGCTCCTTCTGACTTTTCATCTGGGAATCGAATTTTCACTACTATTACCACATCAGTATCAGAGAAGTACTTGAGACAGTTTATGTCAGCCTTTCAGCTGTGCCCGACAAGTTGATGAAAAGTGGTAAGGTTAAAATCTCGATAAATGGGCTCCACATGAGCTCAATGAAAATTAAGGAATTCGTCGTTTTGAAGTGCGTTCAATGCTCTATCTGTCTCTGCGAAACTCAAATGATCTACTGCTTTATCAAATGCTGACCTGTGAACTGTGCTGGTTGGGATACGTAATTTTACCATTTCCCCTATATTCTGCTGATCTTTTACCCACTGCCTACAATTTATCCAGCAGTTAGGTACTTTTAAGCAACAAAATGCTCAAGAACAAAACTGACGTGAAGACTGCATTCAAAGATTTTTATTGACCAGGCATCAATTATCTTTTTCATCGATGGCGAGATACCCAGATGTTCAGAGATTATACGCTGAGTAATTCTAAAATGTGCAGTGTTACATTTTTGTGAATAAATGTGTGTGTGTTTTTGAAATCGGGCGGTACTTTCCAAAACATCCAACAGATACCAGCTCTCCAAATGGCCTTGAAGTTCACGATCAGAGTGCTTATTGCTAGTTGCATAATGACACCAGAACAATGAACAATAAGCATTACAGTCATTAGCAGGAAGGGGTGGGGACGCACAGTAGACAGGAACACCCAGTACTTGAAGGCGTTCCCAGGTCGGCATTGCGCTGAGTTGGCTACCAAATGAACTGCGAGTCGAGGATGTATCCGTTGACTTTCCAATGACCAGCAGCAAATGAGTAATTATTTGAATTCTTAATATTGCCGGTAAAGACAAGGGAAACTGGAATGGCCATTTCTGGTTTATTAGCCATCGTCAGCCAGTCATACCCAGACCCAAGCAGTGCACCACCCGAGCCTCAAACTCACGACATTTTGATCAGAGTCTAGTGCCCTAACCATTGAGCCACGAGCCTGATGTCTTCCCGGTTTAGGTCACGAAATGACCAGCCGGTGAATCGTGCAACGTTTGCACACTGCCTGCCTGCCTATTGGAAGTTTGTGAATATTATGCAATTGTTCCGCAATACTTCGTTAATTTCATTTTAACTACTCATTGCACATTTTCGGGCAGAGTTTGGAAGAGTTTGTTCCCAAAAAAGATTCACTCTCTAATTTTGCGCACTAAATCAAAGAGCTCAACAATGCAAACTGGAGTAGACACCGCAAAGTACATGGGGAAGGCTGGAGTGATTCGAACCGCTCGCAACTGCGTCAGGCAGCGATGCAAATTTCGCGAAACAGGTGTGTCTGGGTTTTTAGCTAATAACTGTACTTTTAGTCAGCTGAGGCCTTCAGCTGCCAACCGAAGCATACCATCAAGGCCACACTACGAATTAACCTCATGTCGACTGAAGATCGGAAATGCTCAAGAACGTAGGACTGAGACGCATCGACCTCTCATGACAGCGAGAGCGGAATGCGACTCATGCAGCTTCGGCTTGCTGGGAGTCTGCAGTTTGTGTGTATGTGTGTGTTGTAGCTTCCTCCTTCTCTTATCCCTTCACCACCTGGCCTTTCTATCTCATTATTTTCTATCTTTCTCGGTCTGCCTTCGTTCCTTTCCCCCCTCT